CGAAATATTTCAGAAAGCTCTCAAAAAGCTGTCAATGAAATATGAAACCTTTCAAAAACATATTTCAGACATGTTTCAGATACATGAAATGTCCGCGTAGATGAGATATCATAAATGTTTCTGAAATATCTCTTAAATGCTTCAGAAATATTTCTGAATGATTTCTATATTACATTTCAATATTAATTTCCAAGTTATATGTTGGATAGCTTTCAATAATATATGTTTTAGAGATTATGTACGAAATACTTCTCTGAAATGTTTCGTAATATTTCTGAGAAATAGAAACATTTCAGAGAAATATTTCTGAATGATTTCTATCTTACATTTCACTATTAATTTCCAAGTTATATGTTGGATAGCTTTCAATAACGTATGTTTTAGAGATTACGTACGAAATATTTCTCTGAATAAATGTTTTGTAATATTTCTGAAATATTTCAGTGACAAGGATCATAAATGATTTCGATAAAACGTTTCAGAAATATACTTCTGAATGATTTCAATGTTACATTTCAATATTAATTTCCAAGTTATCTTTCGTAAAGCTTTCTGAAACTTGTTTTGCTGTGTGGGACTATTAAAATCCCCATTGGATTATCGTTCAATTGAGTAAACACGCGACGGGGGGAACGATAAGAGAGAGCGTCACGTTTCTGCCGCGCGGAGAGTATCTCGATCTCAAAGAACCCTTTGTATCGTCGACCCCGGCGCTTTTTTATGCATAAATAAAAAAGAAATACAGTCCACGCGCGCGACTCTTATCTAACGCGAGCTCCCGTCGATTTTCCCCGCTCGACCGAGAAACTTTACTGCGCATTCCGTTTCCCGTTAAGGCCGCCCGTTCTGACTCATCTGACGCGTACTTGCACAATGTGTGCACACGCGGGACAGTCGCGGGGCCGACAGCGGGACGCGTCGGGGAGAAGAAAACTGGAGCGCGGTCTCGTTTCGCGAGCCCGCGCGTCGCATCGCAGTCATTCGTAATCGGCGGCGTCTGTCGAGCGGCCCCGGCGATCACTTTACGCGCCCCTTCGGGGATCGATCGCAGCGTCGCGGCAGCGCAGCGTGAATCGCGATCGTCGCTGACTCCCCGCGGGAGTCCTTCGGTCCGTTTTGGTGGGCGGGGGTGTAGCGGCGTCTCGAGGCCAGACACCCGCGGATTAACCTCGTCGACGATGCACGTCGTGCCTGCCGCTGACGCAGGGCCGCTACCGCGCCGCGCGAGGCCGTAGTCCGTCATGTCACGCCGGAGGTTCGCGTCGTGCGATCGGTAGTCACCCGGGACCCCCTGGGATGCGCGGCAGGGTCAAGGTTTGTTCTGACCGTTAGATTGTCGGCGGCTGATCGCCCGAGCTTCCGACGCGAGGAGCAACGGGCGAGAGAGAAAGAGAGAGAGAGAGTCGACACTGCAATCGCTCGGAGATTCCGAATTCCAAATGTCGACGTTCAACGATGACTTCGAGAGGCCGTTCGAGGACTTCGAGCCCCTGCAGTGGGGCGCGCTGCGCGATTTGTGCCGCGCCAACGTCGAGTACTTCGCGGCCCACCAGGACAAGAACGGCGTGCGGATCAGGGCCGCCCTCCTCGCGATCCTCGACTACCTGACGCAGCTGCAGCCGCTGTACCGGGAGATCGCCAGGTTCGCGCCGCACTTCGACTTCGACGAGGAGACGCCGGGGAACGGGTACCGGAGCTTCCTCTCGTTGGTCGACAAGTGTATAATGTATTCCGGCCTGATCTGCCGGCAGATGTACAATCACAAGGACTCCGTCTTCTTCCGCAAGAGCTACTACATGAAGTAATTTTGTATATACGTCGCGTAAAAAGAACTCCACGTTTGCCCCTGCTATGCGATGGACTGATTCGATCTGGGTTTTCAGAGAGATTGAAGCGTGCTCCCAGCTATTGGCGTCGCTCTATACGTGCTTGCAGCAGCTGAAGATGATGTACACATGGAGCACGGAAGTGATGAGCGACGGAAAGCTGTCACTGTTTCCACTCGAGCAATACAGTATAGAAGATCTTCTGACTAACGCGCAGAATATTAATCAGTACTGCTTTTACGGCAGGTGCTTGGGCTTTCAGGTATTAGCAGGCAGTGTACACGGCACTCGTACTTGAGTCAAGTTTGTCCGAGAAATGTGTCTAAAAAATGCCCTTCTTTCAGTTTTGCGACAGCCTAAGACAGGTGTTAAAAACGCTGTCGTTCTTTATGGCATCCTTCAGCGAGATGTACTACAGCAATGGTACATTATTAGGACGCTGTACCAATTCCGTCAAGTATTTATTGGATCCCGAAGCAAGAGCGCGTCGTATTGTTAGTATATCTCAGGCCGCTGACATTTCTTTCTGCCAGGCGTTTTGGTTTCTGAGCGAATCCGGTAAGAAATGAGGAAATGCATGACTAAAGGTATCAATTAGGAACAATGGAGCACTGTTACTCGGCACAACTGTAATTTTTAACTAAAACAACTTGTTGCCTCTGGCCGAGGTAGTATTTTTCGCGACAAGTTCTCTTAATTAAAAATTATAACCAGTTGAATAATATCGGTCGAATATGTTATTTACTTACTGGCGAAGAAAGTGATTGTCACTCGTAAATAAGAATATTTAGCACACGTCGAATGTTCCGCGTCTGAAAAGCTATGCCGTTTAGATGTATTTAAATGATCTCACTTGTACATCGAATCAATGAAATTTCTTTGATCTGCCTTTCAGCAATAATGAACATGATGAACACCTCAAATTTAGCAATCAACCAGGTAATATCTATCCCGCCCGAGGAATTAATTCTCCCTACTTTGGATGGCGGGACCGTTTCGATTCCTATACCAAATAGTCACGTCGGGAAGAAACCGATCCACGTTAGGTTGCTAAGCTCTAAACGGCGTCTGGGAATGGTACATAAAGTATAAAATTAATATTAATAAAATTCATAAGGCTCTGCTGTGGTAAACACAAATTTGAAGGAATAAGGACTAAAGAGCCATGACAGGGTGCTAGTGTCTAAATATTACTTGTTTTAAATTTATTGCGAAAAATATTACCTCAGTCAGGGTTTGAACCTGGACCTCCCTACACTCTAGGCGGGCGTCTCACCAATTCGACAACCGAGGCATGTGGAAATATTCGTCGCAATAAACAGTCTTAGAGCGCGAGGGAGGTCCAGGTTCAAACCCTGGCTGAGGTAATATTTTTCATAATAAATTTGAAACGAGTAATATTTACACACTAACATCCTGTCGTGGCTCTTTAGCAGGATTGGGAAGTAACTCGTTACTTGTAACGAAGTTACAGTTGCACTTCTTTTTGGTAACTCTAACTTAACATCGAAAGTACTGTACGATTCATTTAACTGATTATATTCCGTTATAAACTCTCATATAAACATTCTCCCAAATTAAACTTGGTTTTTTAATGAAAAAAATTAAGAATTATTAACCGGCAGACCTGGTACGTTGTAAAATTTACCCAACAGACACATGATGGTGTGTTCAATGTTTATCAAACGCAGTTAATGTAAAAGTTTAAAAGCGGTACAATTATGCCACTAATTTGCGTTTAATATCATGCATTTATTGGGTAGAATAGACTTAGAGAATTTTGTTGAATAAATATTTTTCTCACTACCAAGGTTGGTTCCGGCGGTATAGGAGGAGAATTACGTGGTCTATGCGACGAACTAATCATTCATACTCATGGGGGCGGGTTCGTGTCGCAGACGTCACGATCGCACGAAATGTACCTACGAAATTGGACCATGACGCTCGGCGTGCCAATCTTGAGCATAGATTACAGTCTAGCCCCAGAGGCACCCTATCCTCGCGCGCTCGAAGAGGTGTTGTACGCTTATGCGTGGGCATTGAAGCATGCAAACACCTTGCTCGGAAGTACAGCGAAAAAAGTGATACTTGTTGGTAAGACAAAAAATAAATCTATCTTTGACGCTGTCTCTTTCCGTCGGTCGGACAAACTCGGAGAGTCTTATAATTGATGTCTTGACAGGTGATTCTGCAGGTGGGAACTTAAACCTAGGTACCACTTTGAAATGTATGCAATTAAACATAAGAAAGCCAGACGGTATTTTTATGGCGTATACACCGGTACGCATCGAATTCGTCCCGTCGCCCTCTCGTATGCTCTGTCTCACGGATCCGTTACTACCGTTCGGTTTTATGCTACGATGCTTGAAAGCTTATGCGGTGTCTGAGAATAAGAAACCGATAAAGTAAGATTTCAATGAGAATTCTATCGTATCTTAGTTCACTTGTTTTCAGAAAGCGCACGACTAAATACTTTCACATCGGTATACGTATTTCATAGCTGATAGAATGAAAACGTTTACATTTTTCCACATAATTTATGTGTGTGGCAGGGAACACGAGAATGGTGAAGACGTCAAGTCGGATACAGAGTCTTTTGCAGAAGTGAGCGAAAGTGACCTTATAGCGTTAGCCCTGAGCCCAAACGGAGAGGGTGCCAACGATGCTCAGAAATTGATGTCCCTTCCATCTGACTCGACGTTAAATTCTGTCAGCTTAACAGAAGTCGATGGTACGCACACCAACTCAGCCACATGCTCGTCAATACGTATACCTATACATCTCGAGTATACATTTTGAAAAATCTTTTTATGCAGCAGGTACCGAGAGTCCGAAAACGCAAGCGAAGTCTCGAGAATATATCAGCAGATTTTTAAACATGTACAGAAATTCCGGTCTTGCTTCAACGTCGTCCGCTGCGAGGAACGGCGGCGTTAGTAGAAATGGCAACAATTCGGGACAAAGTAACAAATCGTGGTCCCTGTTCGGGTGGTCCTTCGGCAGAAGGAGTAGCAAGGACAGCAGGGAACTCAATATGGAGAACACCATCTCTTCGGACGAGTTTCTCTTTGCGATACCGTCGGATCCCTTCTTAAGCCCTTATCTCGCGCCAGATAACATGCTAGCTAATTTGCCGCCCATAAAGATACTGGTACTTGTTTGGATTCTTGTTCGATTTAATACAATCTGATAACGTAAAACGTCATGTACTTTAGCCTGTTGCCAAGATCGAGAGATTTAGAATATCCTATATGTACTAATTTGCTCCTAGACGTTACATCTTGACCCTACTCTCGACGATTGCGTCATGTTGGCGAGGAAGCTCCGCTCGCTTGGCAATAAAGTTACGCTGGATATTTTGCCGGGTTTGCCACATGGATTTCTCAATCTTTTACAGGTGAAACTTTCGTTTTTCTTGTATATTGATCAATTGTGCTATTGCGTAACATTTCATTGTATTACTTTGTTTATAGGCTTCGAAAGAAGCAATGGAAGGGTCAGAGCTTTGTGCCAGAAGGATAAAAGAGTTGCTGGAACTGTAACTGTCCAATATTTAAAAAACTTATTGTTAAAAAATATATATATATCGGTATATATATATATATACCGATCTAGAACAAGCGGATGTACTTCAGTCTGTTGCAGCCACACATATTTATACAGCGAATACAGTTATATCTGAACGCGACTAAATGTCTGTTATTCGTTTTCAGCGGCTTAACTATATTTTGTAATATTCCAGGGATTAGGCGTGTAATAGACAATGCTTTAAACTAGTGATTTTCTACCGTATTAGCTACAATAGATATCACTGTTGTCACATTGATGTTATATATCGTCGTGCTGTGCGGCATTATCTAAAGCGAATTAGAACGTAAGATGTTTTAAATCCGATATCTGACCATATATTAATGACAAACGTCCTGTACATATGCAAAAATAGTTAGCATTTATTTATTCTGTTTTTTTTAATATGTAAAACTGTACTTTTACGATTATATTTATGAAACACCATACGTTAGATAGCGAATTGAAACTTTTCTTTGCACGTTTCTCCGCGCGCGCGTGCACTTGTTCCTGCCATGTTCATTTTACATGACAATTTTTGATATGTAAAATATCCAATGTGCAATACACTTGTTTCTTACAAATATATTTTTTAATATGCACGTAATCGTTTTAATCACCACAATTTTCTAAGAGAGGCCGGCTTAAATATCGTGTACAACTTATTTAAGCACAGTCCGAATAGAAAGAGATTGATGGACAATAAAAATGATATGTACAGAAACTGCAGTCGTGCTGTTTTTTTTTCTACTTTCGTCGGAAAATCTTTTGTATACTGTTCTCTTCTTTCAACTCTTTGTTCCAACTTCGTATCTTAATCCAGTCAAGTGTTCTTCTTGTACACGCAACACACTCTTGTTTCTTACAAATATATTCTCTAGCATGCATGTGATCGTTTTAATCACCACAATTTTCTAGGAGAGGCTGGCTTGAATATCGTGTACAATATTTTTTAAACACAGTCTGAGTAGAAAGAGATCGATGGGCAATAAAAATGATATGTACAGAAATTGCAGTCGTGCTCCTTCTTCTTCTTTTAACTCTTCGTTTCAACTCCGTATCTTAATCCAGTCAGTGTTCCTCTTGTATGTACACGCAATACACGGTGCAAGTAGGAAAGGTTAATTTATCGTTACATCACACCATGCGAATGTAATATAAAATGACTTTATTGACAGAACATGGAAACTTGGGTAAATTCTAAATTATGAAAAAGATAAATTAATGAACAATACTACTTGTTAGTTGACCGTTTGATGATTCGTTTGATTCGTTCGTGGACGCAGCGTTTTCTGCAGCACATGAGCGTCCGCCGGTTCTATTCTCTTATAGTAATGCTCTTTAGTCTCGACAATCTCGAATCCGAATTTCTTATAAAAGTCAATCGCGCCCTCGTTACTTATTTGAACGTGTCTGCAAATGTCAGATCGTATTATTCAAGAGCTATACTTTCTCCCTCTCTCTCTCTCTTCCAAGAAGATAAAGTAAAACTGCACAAAGTCATACTTACAAGAAGATAGAATCGAAATTGCCATCCTTATTAACGTAGTTTAAAACATGTTGAACCATAACGGTGCCGATTCCTAATCTTCTATAAGGATAGAGACAACCCAATGTCATTATGTATAACCGCCTAGAATTTTCCGAGGTATCTACACGGCAGCAGACTGCTCCAACCTGAAAGTCGTGACACGCAAATCAAGATCCAATCTATACCCAGCGATGACCGATTCGTCGAAACAACGTCGAATTCGACGTCGATTCGACATCGTTTCGACACCGCGCGACGAGTCCTTTCCCGCTGGGATACTTCACTCAAGCTGAAAATTATATCAACGATCTTGAAACGTGTGTCAGCAACACAGCGCGAATTTCCCTCAATCGATTTTCGTCCGAATTAGTCGACTCCCATCGAATTGCGCGGATAACGTCGAAGTTTCTCGAGCCACCGACAGCCGTGGAGCGAAACTCACGAGTCGTGGTCCTAAGGGAAAATAATTCGGCATCCACCTACCACTATGTCATTGTAATACGCTAGTTTGGCGAGTTCTCCGGCTTCCAGTACGTCCTTGTAAAACTTTTCGTTGTACGAGACTGGGAATACGACTTGATTGAGCAATTTCAGCTGCTTTATATTGTGCGGTGTCACGTCGCCCAGCTCGATCTTCGACCTGAAAAATCGGAGCACACGGCGACATTACGGCCGTGCAGCTCGTCGCGCGTTCCTCGCCCCGGGTGGGAGGCGGGAAACTCGCGGGAGACCGCTCGCGCGAGCCGAGCGGTCTCCTAACCTCCAACGGTTCGCGCCGCTCACCTGGTCATCTTGACGGGCGTCTCGAGGAAGTCTCGGCGATCTTGGCGGAAACGGACCCTGGCGGCGCACCCTCCGCGTGGCTCTCGGCGAGTCGCAAAGCACGTGTCGGAGCGACTTGGTTAACTACTCACGCCCAACGTTTTCGCGCAAAATTCCGGCGGGCGAAAACATAACGAGGAACACGCGCGCGCGCGCGAATGGACCACCCTGGCGGAGGGAAGTCGCGGATCATGGCGGAAGGAAGAGAGGGGTGGGGGCGGCACGACAGTGCCGCTCCGCGCGCTGTGCGAACTTGGAACCGCGCGATTCAATTTCCCCAATTAAAAAATGTGTGCAAGTCGATCAATTGTATGTTATAAATTGTATAATCGTACACTGTCGATTAATTTTTTAAGCGTTTTCATTTTTTTAAAAATGTAAAATAGAACGGTTCTAGATGCAGGAAGCGCATTGTAGATTACCCTAACAGCAAAAAGTCGACGGAAAGTCGACTTAAAGTCGACTATTCCGAAATATGACTTGGCGAAAAGTCGACTGTCTTTAGGACGAAAGTCGACTTGATGTCGACGAATGTCCGCAGAAACGCCGACTTTTCGTCGACTTTTAATTGACTTTTAATCGACTTTTAGTCGACTTTACGTCGACTTTTAATCGGAAAGTCGACTTTCCGTCAGTTTTAACAGTCGACTTTTGAATCGACTTATAAAAGTCGACTGAAAGTCGACTTTCCGTCATCTGTGCTGTTGGGTAGGCTTTCAAGTGAGCGGCTTATCATCTCTTTCTAAAGCCTTGTGTCCACGATCCAAGAACTGTGTTCAGGTTCTAGTTCCAAGGAATGTGCAACCAATCAATCTGTATCTTTTATGGAAAAGCTGCAGATTGATTGGCTACGCATTTCTTGGAACTAGAACTTGGACACAGTTCTTGGATTGTGGACACAAGGCTTAAGAGATCTTTTTAGAAAGAGACAAAAAGCGCTCACTTTTGGCATTTTCACTGTGTTGCAAGATACAGAATTGACCCTCTACTCGGGGGCGACCGAGGTATACGGATTATAATTTATATCGAATAAATGCGCCCCGAGGCGCATGGAGTGACCGACGGTAATCATTTACCGACGGAGCAGGGGGAGGGGGAGAATTTGTCGGCGAGCCGTCGGATGACGCGCGCGACGCGCGACGCCATCTTACGCACCACATGACCTCGTTGCCGTGTCCCGTGACCAGCTCACGTGAATTTCGACAAATTCAAACGTTTTTTTTTTTTTCGGCGCCGAGGGATGGACATTTTGGAGCAGCAGCTCGAACAGCAAGATGTCAGGTAGCGTTTACGTTAAATACCGATCGCCCGACACTGCGAACACCCATCCTTTCCGTCTCGCCCGAGGTCTCCTCAAGGTCATCGTCATTTAGTGCACAGTGCGCACTTAACTTACGCCATAGGACCGACCGACGTAGGCACAGTCCTCGAAAGTAATACACAGAGCATGCAGCCGCGTACAGATATGTCGGTGCCGCGTCTGAAAGCGTCATTTGATTTTGCAGCGTCAAGGAGGACGCCGGCGGCACGACGGGGATCATTATAGAGGAGACGGAGATTGTGGACGAAGGTGAGAGCGGGACGTATTTTCATTGGTCGCGAGATCCTCCCGCAGGATGCTCCTCTAGTCGCAAGCTGTATCAGTACAATTGACCGGACTGCTATGAAAAGCTGTGCCGACGAACGTCAGTTTTTGTATCCCCCCCCCCCTCTGTTTCATTGAATTCCGTCTCTCTCTCAGGGGAACCCGTTGGAGAGGACGAGATGCGCTATCCAGAGACTTTGGCGTACCGAGTTGTCCAGGTGAATGGCACGGCGGCTATACAATCGGCCAACGAGATAGAGCTGCCCGTGTCGCAACCAGGGAATAACACTGTACAGGTTCTAACGTCACCTTTGAACGGCCAGTTTTATGTAATCGGGAATGCCAACGATGTCTTTACCACAGCTCAGGCGTCGAGATCGTTGGTGCCGAGAGCGGCCACGTTGCAGATAGAAACCCCGAGGAACTGTAGTCCCGGCATGAAAAAGGTTGACATGTCATTACTACGTTGCTTTACGTGCAATCGGTATATCGTATACTTCATTTACTCTCTAGTGTGCACAAAAAGTTATCTTTCTTTCTCGCAGAGAGACGACAGGCGGAGAGCGACGCACAACGAAGTGGAGCGCCGGCGTAGAGATAAAATAAACAATTGGATTACAAAGTTGGGCAAGATTATCCCGGACTGCAATAGTGGGACTAACACCACTGTCAACAGCGGCAGCGGAGAAGGGAAAGCAAACTACGAAACTCAGGTGCGTTCAAGTGAAATTCTTGTACGATCGTTTAAACGGCATTGTCGTAATGGCGTTGTTACTTTTCTGTAACAGAGTAAAGGAGGTATCTTGGCGAGAGCCTGCGAGTACATAGGAGAATTGCGCGTGGCTAATCAGAGCCTGGGTCAATGCTTGCGCGATAACGAGAAGCTACGGCAGGAGATTACGGCGCTGAAGCAATTAGTTAACCAATTGAAACGTGAGAATCTTCAATTTAGATCGCAGTTATCGAACTCGCCGTCGGCCGGTAGTACCGAAGTTGTACATTTAAGTCCTTAAGCTTCCTCTAATTTGCAAATCAGTGGCTCTTTCTGTAAATATTAGAATTTCTTCTCGCACGAGGAAATCTGATATTTTGTTTTTTTTTCTCCCTGGCGACTGCACCGGTCTTATCAAGTTTTAAAATACCTTGAATTCCAAAATCAAATTGGGTACTTCTAATAGTAAAGTTATAACTGCACATTTATAAGTACAGCATTAATTCTGTGTAATTTATAGCGAATTTAGTTGCTTGCACTAGTGCGCACTGAGTGCATACTAAAGCTTGTTTACAGTAAATTCTTACATTTAGGGATCGTAAACGAGCCTTGTAGCGAATTCGGCAGCGTACACTAGTGCGCACTGATTGTGAGTAAACAAACTAAGGTTTGTTTACAGTCAATTCTTATATTTAAGGATTGTCTAAAATACTTTTTGAAATACTTCTTAGTCAGTAAGATGATCTGTATAGGATTCGTACGGATCATTTTTTTGGCTAAATAGTTTTTGGGCATGTACTTGAGACGTAATAGAAGAGTAGATTCTAAATAAACCTTGGTGTGCACTCAGTTCGCACTAGTGCACGCTGCCGAATGTGCTGTTAGATCTGATTATATGACTTTTGACTATAAACAATCCTTAGTGTGCACTCAGTGCGCACTAGTGCGAGCAATCGAATTCGCTATTGGTTTCAAATATCAATTTTTATTCAACAAGTAATACGTTCTATTTTACACAGTGATACGCAAACATATATACGTATATAAGAGCAAGCGAAAGTTGCTCTAAAACTTGGAAAGAAAGATCTCAATGATGACCATTCATATCAAACATTGTACAATGCTCAAAGTACTACAGTATAACATGTACACTAGGAATCACTGATGCCTTCCCATTTGAATTTAGGCACATGTAGAATATACATTTTGTTACATCGCTCATTTGGTGCAATAATAATATAGCTCGAAAATCGCCCTCATTGAGTTATTAGTACAGGGAGAGAGGTCGTTGCATATACTAAAACTTTAATCGTGTCTCCTGAAAAATCTTCAGTTATGTCATTGTGTAGCAAATGAGCGATATATATGTCTAAAATGTATAAATGTGTTAATATCCCACAAATTCATGTGGGAAGGCGTCAATGACTCCTAGTGTACACGCACTGGCGGAAATGCTGTCCGTGTCTATGTGATTCGCACACAACGTCGGGTCTCGCACACACTCCCGCCTGTAGGTGAGGTACCGAAAGTGGAGATTGCCTCTCGAGCGGCAGGGACTGACGGGACACAAACATAGCAACGGCGATAATTATTTGGAACTGTTCCAAATAATTAATTATCGCGGTTCCGTCGAGGAAGCGAGCAGCCTTCCCTTTCGACAAGGTGACGTCTCGTTTGAGGAAGACCTGCACTCGACTAACTCGTACTATATATCTAATATATGAGGTTTAATATATAATATTATTGATATATGTTATTGTTTTTATGTGTGCAGTAATAGGGAGCGAGAATTAATTATTTCGAACAGTTCCAAATAATTATCACTCCGTATTACTGCACACGTAAAAATAATATGCACACGTATCAATAATACATATTGGATACATAATGCGAGTTGCGTGCAGCTACTCTTGAAACGGGCCGCGAAAAGCTCATGAAAAAGCTATCGCGTCACCGCATATAGCTCACCTACAGGGGAGAGTGTGCGCGTGGTCTTGATCGATGCGTGCGGGTCACACATTTCCGCCGGTGCGTATACATATATTGTGTGATTATGTTATATATGCTGATTTTTCAAAATTATTGGAAATATATTGTGTATTTGAACGATTAGATGAAACAGAAGGTATAACAGCCGTGTAGTTATGACTGTTACATGGAAGGCCTATGACATACAGATGTAACTGGCGTATGTTGAAATATCATGGCTGTGAGTTTCGAAATATTGACACAACTTTACAATCCTTTTTTTATCGGAAAACTTGAACAGCGGTGCAACCGAAGTTACTTTGAGGAAGGAAGCAATTTTTGTGTCGACTCGTGAAGTCCGCAGACAAACGAAGGATAGGAACCGTGCAGAGTTAATTGACTATTTTTTATTTTTAATACTGTTTTCATAATTATAGAAATAGAGTATCTGATAGAATGAGTTTAGGATTCAAATTGTTAGTGATCAATTATACACATATATGTATACTTGCACATGTATGCATACTTTTGAAATCGACATACATGTGACAATAACATATTTTTGTCAATACAAGATGGACTTTGTGTGGAAAAAGAAAGAAGCGTCAAAATTTTACTTTACCAAACGTTAGATATCAGAATGTAACATACCGTTGATGTATATATCGCGAGGTTATTGTTATATAATTATGATTAAAGGGAGACTATTAAGAAAGTGGTCTACGAGAAGTTATTTGGCGTCATCATATCCGTATTCAGCAAGTTCATGATCCTCTTGTGCATAATTTTATTGTATCCTTTTTTTTTTACATATCATACAATGGAAATGATATCGAAGTCAATGGAACATCGTGTGTACACGTTTTTATCCCTTTCATATTTATCTTCATGTTACTGAAGACCCTGCACCTTGATCATTTGTCCAATGTAATCGTGTACATTCGTGTGTGTGTCCTTTTCTAAACTTTTAAATCATATTTATAACGTTAAGGTATAATACGTTTAATTATACATAACAGTTGCGATTATCGTTCATCGCACTTAACTAGTACATTATATGTTACAATATTTAATACTCCATGATTCACAATCTCTTTGTAAGGTAAGAACTGTCGTGTTGTTCACGTGCCACATTCCTGGTAATTAAGAGTATCTTTTCACACCATAATCCTAATCTGCGCGCGTCGTATGAAACGGGCAGCCGTTTTATACTTTCGTTTATATTACACATTTACGGAAAACATATAGAATTACTTCCTGGCATATTTGCACCTTTAACAAAGCGGAAAGAAAACGAAAGTATATCTCTGCGCGAGGGGATAAAATTACTTTCTTCGATAATATCTGATTAATTACAGGTAACTCTGCTCTCGAGTCAAGCGGGTTAACTCTCGGGGAAGCGGAGCGCATCGCGAAATGTTACGCTTCGAACGCATTTAAGAATGTCCCCGCTTTATTGTCACAATCGTCACGAGCGTAACGTGACATTCTCTCCAATATTTCACTGCATGATAATAGATTTCAACGTGGCTTCTTTATTTACAATTCATTCAAACGCTTTCAAAGGTGACGTATATTCGGCAAATAATATATGACGTAATCGATAATGCTGCTTGTAGTTATATTTTTAGCGAGCTATCTGCAATTCACTAGTTGGACCGGGACATCCTTAAATGTTAGAGCCAAGTTACAGAACGATCAATATCTTAAAATTGCTTTTAACAAGTGACAAGTTAGGAACTTAGTCCTCTAAATTCCTGTATGCCTGTTGAATATCCTCGTGCAGCTGATCGAAATCTGCCCTGATTTTCGCCTCGCCGTCCTTGACAGGGTCCTAGAGGTTTCAGATTAAAGTTTTAATAAAAAAGAGAGATACACACGTTAAAATTGAGATTACAAAAAGATCAGCCAGACTTTCGTTTAAAGGTACCCACCTTGAACTTCATAGAGCTCAATTGATAGAGGATATTGCCCATACTGTCTCTGATGACATTCCATGTGATTTTGTTGTCCGACTGAGCTGTTGATTCCACCGCGTGTCTCGCCATGTCGTAGAATGCGATCATATTTCGCAACATTCCCACGGTCTTGTAAAACGGGCAAAAACGATCGTACGGCGAGTAGCTAAAAGAAGAGAGAGATTCAGAAAAGAATATAGGAATTCCTTTAAGTGACACTCAATCGTTTGCAACATTCAACCATTTATAACGTGCACAGAACTATTGCAAGACGATATATCGTACCTGTTTTGTTGCAGGAAGTCGTCTTTCAGCAACTTTGCCACTTCGAGTGTTATTTTATCCGTTTCGGCGAGCGAAGCCTTGCCTACGAGCTGCACGATTTCCGACAGATCCTCCTCCTCCTGCAAGATCTCCTTCACTTTCGTTCTCAGCGGGACGAACTCCGGGAAATTCTTGTCATAGAAGTCGTCCAATGCTCGCAAATACTTACTGTACGATATGAGCCAGTTGATAGATGGGAAGTGTTTGCGTTGCGCAAGTTTCTTATCCAAACCCCAGAATACCTGCAAATTAAATAATTCGTTGAAAACAAAAATTAGTTTATCGTTAGCTTTTTTACTTTTTCATAAGCGGATGTCCTTTGTACCTGTACAATGCCGAGCGTCGCGCTGGTCACAGGATCAGAGAAGTCACCACCTGGCGGTGATACGGCACCAACGATACTAACTGATCCTTCGCGATCCGGATTTCCCAAACACTTGACTCTACATAAGAACATCCAAATATTAGTCGCACTGATCAGCAGCAAGAGATATCATTTTAATATAAATTTCTTCCAATATCGTAGATATCATTAATGTTATATATTCACTGTGACATTGCGATTTCAAGAAAGTTATTTGATCACATCATTAGTCACTTGACTACTTTATACATCAAGTGACATCGCACCTTCCGGCTCGTTCGTAGAAGCTGGCTAAACGAGCACCAAGATATGCTGGATAGCCAGAATCAGCAGGCATCTCAGCTAAACGACCCGAAATTTCTCGGAGAGCCTCGGCCCAACGAGACGTTGAGTCCGCCATCATCGATACGTTGTAACCCATATCACGGAAATATTCAGATAGAGTAATACCTACGCCGTGAACAACAGATTTATAATTTAAATAAGTTGCAACAATTCACATTGACTATGCGCGAGTGAATTGATAAGAATCTTCCTGAACAGCCCATCGCACGTACCAGTGTAAATAGACGCTTCACGCGCGGCTACCGGCATGTTGGACGTATTGGCGACCAGAGCGGTACGTTTCATGATGGACTCGGTGACGCCGTCGATCTCCACGGTCAACTCAGGAAAGTCGCGCAGTACCTCGGACATCTCGTTACCACGTTCTCCGCAACCGACATAAATGATCACATCGGAGTTGGAGTACTTGGACAAGGCCTGCGAGATGACAGTCTTACCGCAGCCGAAAGCACCGGGAATAGCCGTGGTTCCACCTTGGACGCATCTGTAACATGCGTCGCGTACACTTATATTTCTGTTCTAAATATTTCTGGATACTTTCTACAACGTGCTTATCCAAACGTGTTCTTACGGGAAGAGAGAGTCCAAGACTCGTTGACCAGTGAGCAAAGGATGATTGGCCGGCAATTTTTCAGTGACTGGACGAGGCTGACGAACTGGCCACACCTGCATACGCGTAAATTCACAATAAGCAATCTATCAAGTCTCATATGTTACAATAGAGCAGGGATACGCAACTGCTGGCCCGCGACATTCAAGAACTTGACCAACAAAAGAAGAAGAAAAATAAACTGAATTATTAGCGCCGAGTTGCTGGCGTTTCCTGATTAATACAGAGAAGACAAAACATAAAGTCCTAAATTTAGCTGCTGCAGCATGCGACATTCACGCTTGACCAATAAAAAAAAATAAACTGAATTATTAGCACCGAATTGTCGGTGTTTCCTAGTTAGTACAGAGAAGGCAAGAATTACAAGTTCTAAATTTAGCTGCTGCAGCCCACGGTATAATCTCAGCTTTTACATTTGGCCCGCCAAAAATCAAGTTGCATTTTCCCAACTATAGTTCGTACCTGAAGCATAGTGTATTTCTTCCTCTCGCCGTCGAATTCCGTCTCCAATACGATATCCTACAAAGGTGTTACATACTTACATAAATTTCTGACATAAAATATAGAATGCAACTGCGCGACAAATAAAATCTTACGTCGACGGTGTAGTTGCCGACCGGCGCGATGTACGTGACCGTGCCCTTGCACTTGGGCGGCATGATCATCCAGTGCTTCACCAAGGTATTCTCGTGGACAACGCCGTACAAGTCGCCGCCCGTGATATGGCTGCCATTTTTCACGTTGTGCGGATTAAATTCCCAGCTAGCGGTACGCGAGAGCGCCGGCACGTTGATGCCCTTCGGGATGTAGATCGAGCTCGTGAGCTCGTTGATGTCCTTCAGCGGGCGCTGAATACCGTCGAAGATGCTGCCGAGGATGCCGGGGCCCAGTTCGACGGACAGCGGCTTTCCGGTGCGGAGCACGGGGTCACCAACCGTCACGCCGCTCGTCTCTTCGTAAACCTAAACGTCGTGGGATTATTCAAGCTGTTCCGACATCACGGGACGAAGCATAGATGCAGTGCGCTCTTTCACCTGTATCGTAGCCATGTCACCTTCCAGTCTGATGATTTCTCCTACCAGTTCGTAATAACCGACTCGCACCAGCTCGTACATAGCCGATCCAGCCATTTTCTCCGCGGTGACAACTACGGGGAGGAGAAAAAAATGTTAAGTAAAGAGCACGTAGTGGAGCGGAGTCGGATTCGCGCGAGAACTAACCAGGTCCGGACACCGCATAGACATATCCGAACTTGCCCTCCCGCTCCTCATGCGCAATCTTCAGCAGACTCTGATTCGTCATTTTGAACACTTGGTTTATCTGGAAGAAAAAGAGACTGTATTTAATATTAGGCGGTAAACTTGATTTCCGCGGCTCACATTTGGACGACGCTAGTTGTGAGTGTAATTTACTTTGACATCTGAAACTGGCTGCATTGAAGCGAACAGTGCCATTTTTTTCTTTTGATTAAACATGAAACGTGATAAGTTGTTTTTTCGACATGTGCTGCTTCATTACTTTGATTTGAAAAAAAGAACCTGCAGCTACAGCTCATAAATTACTTGTCGAAGCTTGTGGCAATTGTGCTCCATCGGAAAGAACATGCCGAGAGTGGTTTCAGCGATTTAAAAGTGGTGATTTTAATGTGAGTGATAAACAACGCTCAGGTCAGCCGAAGAAGTTTGAAGACACCGAATTGCAAGCATTACTGGACGAAAACTCAGCTGAAACGCTCCAAGGATTGTCTGCAGCGTTAAATGTTACTCCGATGGCTGTTTTCAAACGTCTACGTGCAACGGGAAAGATTCAAAAGGAAAGGAAGTTATTCTTTTGCACGACTACGCTCGACCACACGTTGCAAAAGCCGTCAAGGAAACACTGATGCAGCTCGAGTGGGAGGTTCGCCAGACTTGGCTCCTTCAGATTATCACTTGTTCCGATCGATGCAGCGCGGCTTGGTGGATACACACTTGAAAAATTACGAGGATGTGCGAAAATGGATCGATGAATGGATTGCATCAAAAGACCAATCGTTCTATCGTTGCGGAATCCACTCATTGCAATTGCCAGAAAGATGGGAAAAATGTATAGCTAGCGAGGGCAAATACTTTGACGTATTTTTTGCTTTTGCTATCGAAATAAATGAGTCTGTTAAACAAAAAACACCGCGGAAACTAAGTTTACCACCTAATACTTGGTATATTCAACAACTACGTGCTTCTTTTCATTTTTTACGTCTTAAAATAAAACGCGGAGTTCAAGGAGAATTGGTATAAATTAAATGTAGATTTGAAGAAAATATCAGATTGTATCCGTAAACATTTTCTGGCCAAGTTCAATAAATTTAAATCGCACATGACACGATTATCTCTTAACAAATAAAGTTTGCAGTTTATCAAGGTTTGGAGGAACGTTTCAGATATTAAAAATATTATATCTTATCGCTGATTACATCTAGCGTAATACAATTTTTACCCAAGCGACTTTTCTAAGTGCGTTCTAGCTACCGATCGCTCGTGAATTAAATGTCGCGAAACGCGAGGAAAAGCCAGTCGCTATCGCATAAATTGACGTTTATCATAATCGTCGTGGCTCGAGTCGTACATACACGAATTTATCGTGCGCGCGCGCGTCAGCCAATTACTCCTCGACCGTATCCTCTCTTTTCCCCATTCAAAGATTTTAACAAAAGCACCCGCTTCAATTTAAATACACCAAGTGCGAGCGAATTCGGCGATCGGGAAAGCGCGAGTGCGAGCGCAATCGTAAGCTATTCAAAAAAGTCTGCTACTTTCAAACCGCACACTTCGAACGTCTCCCTGCAATTACTCTCTTCCCCCGCGACGGAATCTGACGAACACGCGAATATATCGCGGTTAAAGCGGACGAAGGGCGCGAGAAGACGCGCGGAAGCGAAAACGGGACGGAGAGCGGGTCGATCGTCACGGCGAGCGAGACGGAATCTTCGGAGCGCACGCTGTCACACGCTGGCTGCGCGGCTCACGTGAGCAGGCCGTTCAAAAAAATAGGCGTAGCCCCGCGAAGAGGCCGTCTTCTGCTAGGCGGAGGCGAGGCGGCGCGTCCCCGCGGGCCGCGGACGGCCGCGATCGATCGCGCGGCCGTCGCCGACGGCGACGTAACGCACGATCGGCGGGCCGCGTCCCGTCCGGCCGGAAATCGGCCGGAAATCCCACCGCGGATTCGCGCCCGATCGGGGAAGACGATGGCGCACGCTGAGCGCCAGCGGATCGATATACTACGGCTCTCTCGCACGCACGGGCCTCCGGCGGAGCAAACGTTGACTCGGAATCCGCCCGCGCGAGCGAGGCGACGTCGGCGGCCGCGTCAATCGGCTCGGCCGCGAATACTCACAGCGACAGGTGCGACGTGTTTTCGGCGAACAAGTCCAGCCAGCGACAAGAGCCCGTGCCTGTCTCGAGCGAGTCCGGCCTAGCCTGCTGCTATCACAAGACAGGTCAGCTGACTGAGTCGCGTGCCGATTCTCAATTATCGGGCGCGCACGCGCGCGCGTTAAGACGGTGTCCGCATGAGAGCCGCGGCGGCAAATTCGTATTTCGTCCCCGTGCGTCCCCGAGGGGACGAGCGAAAGGATTCTTGGACGTCTGGGGCTCGATTCTTGAATTTATTCGAAGGAGAAACGTACGCGAGAATTCTGCTCTTTTACAGAAATGTTGCAAGTTGATTGGCTACTCGCATGGCTTTAACCAATCGACTTTCAACTTTTCTGTCAGAGCAGAATGTTTGTATAAGTTTCTTCTTCGAATGAATTCAAGAATCGGGCCCCTGTTCCCCGGGAGAGATGGCCCTTTGGATCAGCTGATTTTATAATTATTTCTTATTTCCAAGAGAAAGGGGAAAAAATGTCTCCCTCCTCCACCCTCTTCTTATTCTTGACGTTTATCTGACTAACGAGAAATGAATACCCTAGTGGCACAATATTGGGAAATAATGTAAATCTAGTATTCCCACTATTGGTCCAATATTGTGGGACGCCTTCTCTTATTTAGCCAATATTGTCTATTTAGCAATATTGGACTAATATTGGTACAATATTAGACCAATATTCTTATTACATTGATAAAATTTGGTACAAAAGAGTACACGTGAAGGTGCAACTATAAAATTCTGATTCTTGAAATTGAGAACTTGAGAATCGACTTCAGAATCGTCGCACTTATATCGCTTTTCTTTCGTTTCGATCTTTTTTTTGCTGTATCATACTAAATCGAAATAACGTTATTCCTTACGATCCACAAAATGCAAATAAAGTAGATATATTTATTCATAATTTTCGATGACATACGACACATATATAAAATGTATAGTATCTAAAAAATTGAAATACAAGGCACAGAATGATATGTGGTGTATTATCAAGGCTAGGGTGTGAAATTGTTCCGAATTCTTTAAGATAACTTAGATATATGTTACAATAAATATCATAAACATATTGTTATATTATTACATATCTTTCATTTATTTGCGACGTTTAGGGTGCGTTCGGGGAACTCACTATCAGCGCTATTTAGCGCTGAAAGCGTCATTCTATCATTGTTGCTCATCATGTGTCAAAGATCCGCGAACGTATCCTTATGCGCTGAAAGATGTTTTTAAATATAAATATACATAAGATTTCTTCTTAAGAGTTATTTATAATTAGAGCAAGATGTTATTGTGTGCCTTTTCATATAAACTTTATTTCAACTAATACAATTGTATTATAACATATTTAATAACTTGTAAAAAACAGTTTCAATATTTAACAACGCATGTATGTATAAACCTATGCGCTAAAAGCTCTGCTCTAATACTTGAACTTTGTAATATTAATCTATTGTGTCACAACTAGAGCTTACGATTGGATACGTGTTTTAAGATTCACGTGTACACGTGATCCGTGTACACGGATTCACGGTACCTTTATTCACGTGTACCTGTGTCCGTGACACGTGTACACGTGTAGTCGTGTATGTGACACGTGTATTCGAATGTCCGTGTATGCGCAACCTCTATTAAAAAAAGTTTTGACCATAAAAAAAGCATTATTTGCAAATTATCAAAATTTGCTGAAAGATCTCTATTTCTGCATATGTTGTTCGACATATGTATACGCATAATTCCAGCATTCCAAGTTTCATCCAGATTTTGCCACATAATTTCATTCACACAACATTCTCTAAATATTTCCCTATTGAAGTATACACGACTACACGTTTACATATGTCACATACACGGATATTCGTGTACACGTGTCACGTTCACAGATATTCGTGTACACGTGTACACGTGTCACGTTCACGGATATCCGTGTACACGGGTTAAAACACGGATAAATTAAATACACGGATTACACGTGTAGTCTAGTACACGTGTACTCGGGAGCTCTAGTCACAACTATAGTATATATTAAAAAAAATATGTTTTATCACTATGAACTATAGTGTGCGCTATAGTCTCATTTTTCCTATTAGTTATATTAGAATGTATACTCTGGTTTACGCGTGCAAACGGCTGGAGTCCATATAACTCACAAAGGCACCTAATAAGTTACCTAGCATCATGTCAATTGCCTCGGAAATTGAAAGGATAATCCTCCTCAAAATCTCGCTGCCAGAAAAACTCTGGGTGCACAGGCTCATGCCCCACTGCCTCAAATTCGCTTTACAATACTGCCAGACAAAAGTAAAGATTTGGAGTAAAAAATCATCCATGTCTCTGGAACGTTTCATTAACTTTATAGTGATTTCAAACAGCTTTTTTAAGTATTTCTCATCAATCTTCATAGAGCTCATCTGTCTTAACAGCGGTTCGAAGTCAGGCACTATTGGTATTTTGGTGCTTCTGGGGCAGTCGTCGCTTGCATAGAACTTCGATAATAATTCACAAAGTACTTTTGCTAATTGGTCAACAATAACGTCATCATCAGAGTCCCGTGAAGTACCAGGCGAAATACTTTGGTCGGATTTGATGAATATGCCCAGTTTTACAAGACGAGTAACATATTCGAGAGGATCTAACAATAGAATACCATTGACTTTTAGTCTACCACGTTCGCAAGACCATTCAATGTTACGTAAAGTATTCTTCGGCACCCGGTTACCGCCGTTAGTTACAGACCGACTAGACAATAGATCTTGGCGGTTTCTTATGTAGCGTATCACTTCCGCATTCTCGGCCATTTTACAGACATTATTTTCGGCAGCATTTCTCATAGTGCGATTGAATTTTTTACGGAGACGCTTAGAGCTCAAGCTGTCCTTGTATTCACTCATAACTCTACCTTGGGTACTTTCGATAATGTCGCTGGCGAATTGAATCTTTACTACGGAGCCGCAGAAAAACATTACATGCGTCGCCAAATTCAACGCGTCTATAAAACTGATCGGTTCCTCCTTATTTTTATATTTGTCATACATATTGTAACCCTGATATAGTATGCCAACGCCGTTGACGAGCAGGTTGCCACCTTGCATAGTATTGAATGCTACTCTTGCCAAGGTATGTACTGTCATACCGCGTGCAGCAGCGTTGGAAATAATCGCTGATCCTCCAATTACTCCGAAACCAAACGTAGTACCGGCTATGCCGAGGTAATGCGCAAGTGCGTCTCTGTCCAAAATATGAATAGATTCCTCATGGCTACTGCGATCTACTAATTGTTGGGAATTTCGGCCCAATGTCCAAGCACCAGTCACACCAGCAGCAACAAAGCCTAATGTGTGGGATAAATTAAAATGGTTTTATGATTTCTTATTGACCTTTCTTTATAAAATTCAATGTAATAATGTGAAACACAAGGGAAGAATACTGTTGAAAAGTAATTAAAAAATTATGAAATATTAGATATAAAATTTACTGATTTTAACTAGAAACTATTACTTTTGAATGAATTTTCACTAAATTTTTACTGAAACATTGATGAAATCATAACAAAACAGGATCGAATGAGATTTTTAATACATTTCACAAAATTACGTTAGGGTACTTGATCAATTGACCAATTGATTTTGCATCGAACGCATATTGAAAGTCAATTTACCTGATATCACAACAACTGGTGCAAGAGGCGTGAACAGTCCTACGGCAGTCAAGCCAACTGTGCCAATTCCAACGACATTGGAAGCGATATCTATTCCAGTGCAGAGTTTTGCTCGCCATGTACACGCGGGAGACTTCACAATCTCCAGCCAAACCGTCGAATAATCCTCCGTACATGGATAAGCCGGGTCTGGTTGATAAACACCATCTTTTGGAAGAACCATAGTGCACTTCGGTAGATTATTGTTTTTTGTATAGTCTGCCCAATTTTTATATACTCTGGCGCTGCCATCAATGTACCACGTTTCATACTGCACTTCAGCAGCAGTTGCTGAATTTTCCTGTTTCGTGCTCTTTGCAGTTTCAGATTTTTTCTTTCTGATCTTAAAAATGGGGACAGGAACTACGAAGCACAGCTCCTCTTCATCTTTCTTTTTACTTTCATCTTCTTTTTTTACTTCTGCTTTTGCCTTTTCTTCCTTTTCTTCCTTCTTAGGCTTTATTTTCATTTTATGATTGAATATTACATTATAAATGATACCAAAATAGATTGATTGAGCACCATCCGTTTCTGCCGTACTGCAGATCTTCTCGTATATCTTGTTTATGACCGTTTCCGCTTCTTCTTTGTACTTCACTGCATCAACTACGTCTGTATCATTCAAATTTTCTGTGTTGCAAAAACAAGAGCTTTCCTTCGTACTTGCATCATTGGCGCCCTTTGGCGATCCGCAAAGCGCATATCCAATATTCTGTTTTAGATATTTATATTCGTCAGCTTTATACATTGTGAAGTCGGGAAGAAGTTCATGCAGGCATTGCTGCTGTTCCACAGCGAGAGTCTGCATCTCTTCCTGAAAAATGAATATATCGTCAATAACGCGCTCAAACACTTTCCGTCTCTGTTAAAATTACTCGAGGAAAAGTGACAAGAAATTTCCTCTGTCGTTAGATAAATTTGAGCATTTGGTTCTGTATCCTCGGAACAATAGAGACAAGCACACTATATACAACAATGTAGCGGTTTATTGCGCCAGTAATGAATAATAAGTCGCAAATCTATAGTCGACCAAACTGGCAAGAGATTAGTTACGTACAGACTATATAGCCAATTGGCTTTAGGAAAATCACTATAGGAATTTGTCAATAAATCAATTTGAGGCTGCAAAGAGAAACTTACCTCGAGTACGTCCACAACTTCTTCTTCCTGCGCAGCCATTATATCTGTAAAATCCCTCAGAGCTTATCAAAAATATAGACTTCTCTTCTGTAAATAAAGAAAAAGTATATTAAAATGATTAATATGCATTTCCAGCTTGCTGTCCACGTAGGGCTTGTTAACTGGTTCGGTGCCAAGTTGAATTGCAAAATTATCTATCGGCTAAACATCGCTAAACGATGCTGCTAAAATCCACGATCTATATCGCGTATTACGTGATTTTATCTAATAACTAATTCAAGGAGATGACATCATTCGCGATGCGATTTAACCTCAAAATAAATTAACTCCTAGCATTAGTTCCACTATTTCCTTTTTGGGCGAATAGCATTGTATTTCATTAGGGACTCATTACGTGCGCCAGCATTTCCGACTTAATTAACACTCATTTTAATTGTTGAGATTTTTTACGTACGATTTTCTTGTTAATCGAAGCGATGCTACACCTTCGTCACTTTACCTGTTTGACTGTTTGAAAAATTGCAAATGCGATATCGCGAACAGTCCACGATAAATCAAATCGCAGCGGCCAGAGGTAAGAATCGGAGATAAAAATCGGTAGAACCGTCAGGGACTTTCCATATGCCGATGACGAATCATAGCAATTCGACGTGCTACTCGATCGCAACGTGACGTTAACGCGGTCGACGGTACTTTATATATTTTCATTGAGGATCTAAGTTAATTGAACAAAACGATCGACAAAACTGGGTGGAGTAGCACCAATTCTTTTCAGATTTCCGAAACATTCTAACGAAAGTATACTTACTGAATAACTGAACGATAGCGGTCTTGTCTATGGTCTCTAGTACGTACGATTCTTTCGTTGTATACCAGTTACGTCGTAGATACTCGGCAATTATCCGACAGAAAATCTGATATATATATACGCGCTGTGATAGATAATATTTCAAAATGGCAGGCAAATGTGAATACCTAAACGTGACGGTGAATACCCGAATTTGATACTGGTGTCAGTTCAAGTTCGACTGCGCTCAGCAAAAAGAAAAAAAAAGAAACTAAATCAGCTGAGTGAGCGCCGAGTGATTCTTTAAGGCCGGTTCTACATTATGCGGGGTCTACAATGCGAGTCGCAGTCGTAAGAATAATCGACTGCGATTGATTAATTCCGTCAGACACGTAAAGCCCCGTCTACATAGAAGTCGTAAAGCCGTAGTCGTATGAATAGTCGACTACGATTGGTCAATTCTTAAGCCTCCGCTACAATGATTCTCGGTTCTGTCTACAATGGTCGTAGTCGTAGTCGCTCGATAAGAATTGACCAATCGCAGTCGATTATTCTTACGACTACGACCATTGTAGACAGAACCGAGAATCATTGTAGCGGAGGCTTTAAGCTCCGTCTACATAGAAGTCGTAAAGCCGTAGTCGTATGAATAGTCGACTGCGATTGGTCAATTCTTACGTGTCTAACGAAATTGACCAATCGCAGTCGAGAACGTAAGGCAATAACGCAAGCAGTAGCAAATCCAATCTGTTGATTCTCTTACGCTTACGTTTTACGTTCTTACGGAATTTTATATGTGAAGGCCTTTAATACTTTCAGATCCAACCAATCATATTAGTACAAAATTTTACTGGTTTTAAAAATTTGTGAAACAACAAAATCTTAAAGAATTAAAACATCTGCTTACTTAATTGTAGAATATTACAGAAATTAACAAAAGTGTTCCAATTCTAGCATTTTCATATTGATTTTCATAACACTTTAAATTTACGTAGAATTTTATAGATTCTGGCAGTTATATTTAATTTTCTTGTAGAATTTTGTAGAATTATTTCCGGTAGGGAAGTGCGACAATGCACGACCTACGAAATCAAAACATTTCAAGACTATGTGTATTTATAATAGGTGAAATTGACCGTTTATATGTATAACACGTGTAACACTTGTCTTTAGAAGAAGACGTTTGTCGTTTGAAATAACTCGACGAGATTGGGTAGAGAGAGTCATGGAATCAGAAATAAGAAACGAAATTAATAGCGACTGGGACTATAACAAGGTGTTCAATGCAATCGTGTGTCACGTTTGCAAACGATTTGATGACGAAGTCCGTTTGAAGAGGTGCAGTCGCTGCAAGATGATCAAGTATTGTGGTACGGCGCATCAGAAGCAACACTTGAAACAGCACAAACCTATATGTAAGGCCATACGGGACGTGCTGCAAACCTGCAGCATGGAAGACGTTGATGCAACGCCAAAGGAGTACTGTGCTCAGAAGTTAAAGATGATTGGCATGGTGACAGAAAAGCTAGGACGTCCTCTGGAACAGTATGAGCTAGATATGATAAGCTATCCAGAGGAGTGCGCCGTCTGTTACAAACGGAATGCTAACTCGCTCTGGCCTTGTCAGGATTGCGTTGCCAGTTACTGTGAAGATCACAAAGACGGTATCGAGCACAGGAATATCTGTGCAACCTTAAGTTTATGTTATTATATAGATCTATTTGATATGAGCCAGTATAATTATCCGGATCATTATTCGCAACAAGTTTACAACACGAAATCGTTTCGGGATATGAAGGACTTTATAAATGCTTACGGGGGTATTGAGGCCGACCCAGAAATATCGTACGATGTTTTGGAAGCCCGGCACTCGCAGCATCTAACGTGCCCCTTAACATTGTTTCATGCCATGCGATTATTAGAATATGTTCCAGAACGCAAATATCTTCATGTCGTTCATGTTGTAAGCGCGGGTACCACAGAGGCGATCAGGTTCACAATATGGGATGTCTTGCTACATTTGACAGACATGTCATCACTGGCGATTATAATTATAGGGCCGGAATTAGAGCATAAAGCACCCCCTCTCAAATATACGTCGCAACAGAAGAAGTGGTCGATTGAATTTTACGAGGACTCGTACGAGAACTACGTACGTGACCCGTCGTCCTTGAGACCTGACCTGGTCGTGGCATTTCAAACGGATATGTATGAAGAGGAACTCGATTCCCCTAAAGAAACGTGGGCAACGATCGTACGGCTGCTGGCGAACCAAAATTGTCCGTTCGTTTTAACGGATTTCAAGCGAAAAAATTTAGAAAAGAATATTGTAAGTATTAACGCTATCCTAGATAAGGAGATAGAAAGTCTCTATATCGGGGAGAATCCGTTCGCTTGTTTAAGACCGTGTAAAAACTTCGAACCGGAGAAAGTGTTTTATGATAATCAATATGTAGTTGTCTACAGGAGTCTCTATCCGCATTAATTGTAAACGTAACTTAAGCGACTAAAGACTGCGACTGATGCCGTAGAAAAGTGAATGACACGTAGACGTAGAAAGCTATTTGTATTAACTATTACCGCGAGACCAATTAAACTCACGAGAAATAATATTTCCGCGTTTTTTGATATTGTCATTTACATTTCTGAATACATCATAAAATGTAATTCGCTAGCGTTGAATTTGCAGTCTTGTGCGGCGACTTTTGGCGAATGTTTGGTACATATGCCAAAATGTACCGGAGTACCCACTCGATGTGATTAATGCTTTTACACCTGAAAATAATCGTTACGTTCAATATATTCCGATAGAAAAATTCATTTTGCACTTGATTTTTTTATTATGATTGAAAATTTATGATTGTCATGATTAATAAAACAATAAAATGCATGTTTCAATAAGAAATACGATATGATATCTTCAGCGTCTTTCATCAGGTGTAAAGTCATTCATAACGCTCCGATACATTTTGGCTCATCTCTATATAGTAGCACAGTGCATTGGGTAAACATTGGCTAAATGTTGGTTACATTAGAAATGCATTGATCAATGTTGTCCAACGTAAAGACAATATTAGCCATCGAATAAATGTAAATATTACACTATACTAATTATGTAATATTAGATTCGTATTGGAAGTGCATTGGCCACTAATGTAACAATGTAATAACAATATTGAACTAATATTGGTCTAATGTCACCCGTTCGCCGTAAGTCGGAACAGAAAGAATGTATGTATACGTGTCATAAGGATTTGTATGAGAACTACGTAGCATTCAGTCGTTCGTGAAACCGGACTTGACCGCAGGATTTCATACAGTTGTTCAGCAATATGAACTTTGAGCCCCGCAGTGAAACGACGTCCATACGGCTACTGGTCGAATAGAAGTGCCCGTTTATTTTAAGGTGTGATGCGCGATCGCAAATAGAATGCGAGATTGAAAGAATTAATATTATCCTGAATAGGACGATCGATTATCGCTATATCGGAAAGAATCCATTCTCTTGTTTAAAACCGTTTGAGACCTTCTGGGCGCACAACGTGTTTTATGAAAAACTATATATTATAGTTGTCTGCCGGATTCTCTGTTCGTAATTAATTGTAAGCTTAATTTAAGCTTACAATTTACATTACGACCAAAACTAACTAAAAGCTGCGTTTGACATGTAGAGAAAAGTGTAGCGCAAAACGAAAGACGCGAATTAGATCGAGTTTAGCATTTAATAGACGCAACGGAAAACGTAAAGAAAATTTGTACTAAGAATCGTCGCGTTTGCGAAGTTTCTTCAAAAATAAAGAGACCAAGACCTGACATTCCACAGGAATGCTTGCATATTTGTGATATAAAATCCTAGTGTCTGTTCTTTATTTATAGAATCGCCCAGCGAGAAGTAACTCATCAATCGATGTCGAAACATTTCTCACTGGACGACTATGTCCAGTAAAACATAATGTCAGTAAAACACAACATAGATTATGGACACATTTTAAATTTATTATAAACATAACAGCTGATACTTATAATCAATTTAAAATGTGTCCATAATCTATGTTGTGTTTTACTGACATTATGTTTTACAGGACATAGACAATTTTCCTTACATCTTACAACGCACAAAGTTGGCACCATGATATTCGACAAAAGACAATACATACCCCAATGAGAAATGATTCGTCGATCGATGTCGAAACGATGTCGAATCGACGTCAATTTGACGGTATCGATGTCGATTCGACATCGTTGTGACATCGATCGACGAATCATTTCTCACTGGGACTGTCATTTTGTCCTAGATTGTAGAATTTTTCATTCAAGATTAAAATATTCCTTTCTCAATAATAAATGTGATCGGCGCTATATTGATCTTATTTTATGAGACATTGAAGAGTAATAGCTTTGGATCCAGAAATTTTTTGTCGGTGTACAGTTAATCACCGAATACATGCAAAGTCAATACGTTATACATCTTTCATGGTGCATTCGGAAATGATAATACTGAAAATTTGTAGCGTACGTGATAAATTATAGATATTTAAATACCAGTTCTAAACGCGCCATTGAAGAGTTAACAACACGAGAAGAAAATTGCTGATTCACGCGCCCCACAATGTACGACCTACGAAATCACAACATTTCAAAACTATGCGTAAGTATTTATCATAAGTGAACCTAACCATTTATAGGTATCATACGTGTAACACTTGTCTTTAGAAGAAGACGTTTGTCCTTTGATATAACTCAACGGGACTGGGTAGAGTCATGGAATCAGAAATAAGAAACGAAATTAATATCAACTATAACGCCGAGTTCAATGCCAACGTGTGTCACGTTTGCAAACGATTTGGTAACGACGTCCGTTTAAAGAGGTGCAGTCGCTGCAAGAGGATCCAGTATTGTGGTACGGAGCATCAGAAGCAACACTGGAAAGACCACAAACCTATATGTAAGGCCATACCGGACGTGCTGCAAACCTGCAGCGTAGAAGACGTTGATGCAACACCAGAGGAGTACTGCGAACAGAAGTTAAAGATGATTCACATGGTGACACAAAAGCTAGGACGTCCTCTATACCTTTATGAGGCACAAATGATAAGCTTTCCAGTGGAGTGCGCCGTCTGTTGGAAATGGCATGGTGATACGCTCAAGACTTGTCAGAATTGCGTTGCCAGTTACTGTGAAATTCACATAGACAGTATCGAGCACAGTAATATCTGTGCAACCTTAAGTTTATATTATCGTATAGGTCTATTTAGTCAGAGCAAGTATAACTGTCAGGATCATTACTCGCAACAAGTTTACAACACGAAATCGTTTCAGGATATGAAGGGCTTTATAAATGCTTACGGGGGTATTGAGGCCGACTTATTGTTAGAAGTATCGTATGATGTTTTGGAAGCCCGGCACTCGCATCATCTAACGTGCCCCTTAACACTATTTCATGCCATGCGGTTGTTAGAATATGTTCCAGATCGCAAAGATCTTCATGTCATTCATGTTGTAAGCGTGTGTGCCTTGCAGGAGGTCATGCTCACAATATGGGATGTCTTGCTACATTTAACAGACATATCATCACTAGCGATTATAATTATAGGGCCGAATATAGAAAATACATCACCCCTTCTAAGATATTGTACGTCGCAACAGAAGAAGTTGTCGATTGAGTTTTACGAGGACTCGTACGAGAACTACGTACGTGACCCGTCGTCCTTGAGACCTGACCTGGTCGTAGCATTTCAAATGGTTATGCATAAAAAGCAACCTGATTCCCCTAAAGAAACGTGGGCAACGACCATACGGCTGCTGGCGAACCAAAATTGTCCGTTTATTTTAACGGGTTTCGACCGACAAAATTTAGAAGGTAATATTGTATGTATTAACACTATCCTAGATAAGAAGATAGATAGTCACTATATCGGGAAGAATCCGTTCGCTTCTTTAAGACCGTATAGATACTTCAATCCGGATAAAGTGTTTTATGATAATCAATATGTAGGTATCTACAGGAGTCTCTATCCGAATTAATTGTAAACGTAACTTAAGCGACCGACACGAACTAAAGGCTGCGATTGATAGAAAAATGAATAACACGTATCAATCGAGCTTATGTTTAATAGACGCAGTGAAATAGACGTAGAAAACTATTTGTATTAACTATCACCGCGAGACCAATTAAAGTGACGAGAAATAATATTTCCGCGTTTTTTTATATTGTCGTTTACATTTCTGAATACCTTATAAAATGTAATTCGCTAGCGTTGAATTTGTAGTCTTGCATGGCGATTTTTGGCGATTTTTGGCGATTGCCTAGTACATACACCTATGCTAAAGGAGCTGGGAGAGCCCTATACTGGCTGGTAGAATACTATACTGATATTATAGTATTCTACCAGCCTTTCACAATGTTGGACGCCTTTATATATACAATACCAATTAATTATACATATTTCATGGTGTATTTGGAAATGTGCATGATATTACTGATAACTTGTAGCGTACATTATGTAAACTAGAGATTTTCAAATACCATTCCGAAACGCGCCATTGAAAACAGAATTGAAAGCGCGGAAAGAAAATCACCGATTCACTCGTGCGCCACAACGCACGACCCAGGAAAGCGAAACAGTCCAAACACTGTGCGTGTTTATAACAGGTGAACTTGGTTTAAACGTATAACTCGTGTAACACTTGTCGTTAGAAGGAGGCTTTGTCGTTTGATATAACAAGATTGAGCTGAGTCATGGAATCAGAAACGTGCGATCAAATTTGTAAGAACTATAACGAATTTTTCTATGCAACCATGTGTCACGTTTGCAAACGGTTTGGTGACGACGTGCGTTTAACTGAGTGTGGCGGTTGCACTTTGATCCGCTATTGTGGTCCGGAGCATCGGAAACACCACTGGCAGGAGCACAAATCTCTATGCATCGCCGTACCGGACGTACTGCGTACAAACCATTTGGATGATCGTGGTGCACCTTCGACGCAGTGGGCCGATAAGAAAATGACCATGATGGGACTAGTGGAAACGACGCTAGGACGTACGTTGGAAACATACGAGAAAGAGATGTTCCTGTTTCCAAGAGAGTGTGCCGTCTGCCAGGGTATGGATCAGCAATGGTTGCAGGATTGTCCGAACTGCGCTGCCAGCTACTGCAAAGATCACGTAGACAATATTCGGCACGAGGACATCTGCGCGCGTCTAGGATTATGTCTTCGTTTTGAGTTATTATACGGGAAAACGGACGATCTGGAAGTGCGTTATCCGCAACAAGTTACCTGCACGAGTACATTCCTGGACATGAAGGACTTTCTAAACACTTACGTGGATCTTCCCACTGATTCGGGATTGTCATACGATATCGTAGAGGCTGCACACTCGCAGCATCTGACACGTCCCTTAACACTGTTTCATGCTATGCGATTGTTAGAGTATGTTCCAAAAAACAAAAGACTAGTTATTCATGTTGTAGGCGCGAATATGATGGAAGAGATTACCTGGCCTGCGTGGCAAATCTTGATGGCTTTATTAGACTTAACATTTCTGCTGGTTGTAATGATAGGGCCGGAATTACGTAGCTGTACTGTACTCCGCAATCGTTGTAAGTTGGGACAGAAAGAATGTGCGTATGCGTGTTATAAACAGTTGTATGAGAACTACGTGCGCTCTCAGTTATTCGAGAAACCGGACGTGATCGTAGGATTTAATGCAAATATTCAGCAATATGAACTTGAGTCTCCTAGGGAAACGTGGGCGCCGTCCATGCGGGTACTGGCGGAACAAAATTGTCCTTTCATTTTAACGGGTTACACGCAGTTGCATTTGGAAAGCGATATGGAAAGAATGAACAGCATTTTGAATAGGAATATAGAATGTCCTTCTAGCGTAAAGAATCTATTCGCTAGTTTAAAACCGCACAGAAGTTCCTGGCCAGACAACGTAGTTTATGACAATCAATATATGATCCTTCACAGGCGGAGTCTTTGTCCGTAACTAATTGTAAACGTAATTTAAGCTATTGACACAAACTAAATACTGTAATTGACGAGGAAAATGTAGCGCGAAACGAAAGACACGAATTAAATATAGCTTTAGTACGTTTAATAGACGTAACGAATAACGTGGAGAAAATTTTGTACGAACAGTCACCGTGAAGCTCTGTGTCTCTTTACGAGACAAAGAAACTGAGATTTGACATTCCTCAGAAAACTTGCATATTTATATTCTATATATCCTATTGTGTGTACTTACTTTCCCTATTCATACTTGTAGAATCAATTGTGTTCGGTAACAGCAGAACATAATGAATTATAAATATTATAGAGTAATAGATTATATATGAATTATAAATATGATAGTTATTGATTCGTGGATACAGTAATTTTAATATATAGAAAACTCTGTAATAAGACTTTTTGTCACTTGTAATGAAGATTTGTGTTTTTCGTAACAAATACATATCAGGTATGCACGAAATGACAATTATTTCTCCATCTTTCTTCCATCGATATCTGAAATCTGTAATGTCACAGGTGTGACAATTGTGTCACAATCTGTCACAATCTGGGATCAAAATAATGGCAAGATCGTGGCACCTAATAGGCAGCTAGAACCATTTCTCAATAGAATATCATAGAAAATTAATTGCTATTGTCAAACACTCGTGTGAACAATCATTAGTCATCAACGTACCACGATCTAACTTAGAATTCCACGGTCTGGCTAAAGAAATACAGATCAGATGATTAAGGATGCTGGAGGATGCTGTTATAAAGGCAGAGATTATCTAGTTCAATGTTTATCAAGGTACATTTTTCTAACGCTTAGGAAGTAATTGTTGAATATTTCTAGATTACATGTACGTGTTTGTATATTACAATTTAGTACATACTTTTGGCATATATGAATGTCTTTATGAAATAAATTTGAAATCGAATTCTCTGCACTGACGTAAGCGATGTAATAAAACTCTAATGGCTCATAAACGCAAACATTTATTTATCATAATACTGGTAAAGGCATTTTCTCTTTTTCTTTTCTTGTAAAAGCAAACCTAAATCGCTCGGATCTTAATTTGATATAAATTAACGACTAACAAATGTGTAACAAAGTTTTCAAAAGTTGTACCCGGCGAAAAGGTTTACGCAAAGGTGGAAACACAAAAGTCCCGACAGAGATGAGAATGTGAGACTTTCTGTGTCAAAGTGAAGGTAGTATAAATCAAAACTAACGAAGTGCATAGGACTAAAAAATGTTTGCCAGTATGATACGATAGACATGTGCGACAAAGAAAAGAGAGAGAGAAGCGAAAACAAGGAATGCCCTTGTCTTGAATTTACGGATGTGACGTCGACTATCGACTGTTCCCGAATAATCCAGATCATTCTAGATCGTCCTAGATCGATCATGCGCAAATAGCAAACGTCGATATCCTTCCGCCCAGAGCATGGTGGAAGGGATAACTTCCACCATGGCACACCATGTTATCCCTTCCACCATGATCCAGATCATTCTAGATCGTCCTATCGATCATGCGCAAATAGCAAACGTCGATATCCTTCCGCCCAGAGCATGCTCACTCGTGCTTGAGCCGTCGTGAAGAGCACACGTGTATACCGTATCTATCTCGCAATAAATTCGTATTCGTGTTAACTCGTTTTCATTAGTTATCAAGACCACAACCATTCAACAGATGTTAAAGAAAAACGTAGCGCACGCGAAACGGAGGACACGAACTAAATCCAGCCTAAGGTTCAGACGCAATGAAAGAGACATAGAAATTATTTAACTGTATATTAATTATCACCGCAAGAATCATTAAAGTGAGGAGAAATAAAGTCAGGTTTCTACTTAGGACGGGACCTTATTGCAACGTCTACACTTAATTACTGCATAAATACAATGCGAATAAATTACATATATTCCATGGTGTATTCGTAAATGCCACTAATAATACTGAAGATTTGGAACGTACGCGATGAATTATAGATTGTCAAATACCACGTCAAAACGCGCCATTGGAAAAAAGAGTTAAAAGCACGAGAAGAAAATCGGTGATTCACGCGTGCGCCTCGACGCACGACCTAGGAAATAGAAACATTCCAACACTGTGCGTGTTTATAACAGGTGAACTTGGTCGGTTAAACGTACATGTGCAACACTTCTCGTTAGAAGGAGAATTTGTCGCTTGATATAACGAGACTGATCAGAGTCATGGAATCAGAAACGAGTAACCAAAGTTATGAAAACTGTAACGACTTTTTCTATGCAACCGTGTGTCACGTTTGCAAACGGTTTGGTGGCAACGTGCGTTTAAAGAGGTGCGGTGGATGCAAAATGATTTTCTATTGTGGTCTGAGGCATCAGAAGTACCACCGGCAGCAGCATAGATCTTTATGCAACGCTGTACGCGACGTGCTGACAAGTTACGAGTACAACATAGAACAACCTGATGCAACTTCCATGGAGTCGGACCAGAAGAAAATAATGTTGATAGAACTAGTAGAAACGGAGCTGGGACGTAGTTTGGAGAAATATGAGAGAGAAATGTTTGAGTTCTCAAGGAAGTGTGCCATCTGCCAGGAACTGGATGATACATTGTTGAAGGATTGTCGGAAATGCGCTGCCAGCTACTGTAAATATCACATAGACAGTATTCAGCACAATGACATCTGCGCGCCTCTAGGATTATGTTTCCGCTCTGAGTTATTATACGGGAAAACAAAGGATCTGGAAATGCATGATTTGCAACAAGGTTGTACCTTCACGAAAACGTTCCAGGACATGAAGCACTTCATAAAAACTTACGCGAATCTTCAAAATCCCTTGGAATATGATATTATGGAGGCTATATATTCGCAGTATTTAACACGTCCGTTAACACTGTTTCATGCAACGCGATTGTTAGAATATGTTCCAAAAAGCAAAAATTTAGTTATTCATGTTGTAGGCGCAAATATCAGGGAAGAAGTCACCTGTTCGGCGTGGCAAATCTTGCTAGATTTCATGGATATAGAATCTCTGATGATTGTAATGATAGGGCCCGAATTACATCCACTTGTATCACCCGTTAGCCTTAAGTCAGGACGGAAAGAATGTCTGTTTAAGTTTTATAAAGAGTTGTATGAGAACTACGTACGCGGTCAGTCGTTCGTGAAACCAGATCTAATCGTAGGATTTAACACTGTTATTCATCAGCCGATTGAACTTGGGTTCCATAGTAAAATCCTAACGTCGTTCATAGAATTGTTTATGGAACAAAATTGTCCGCTTATTTTAACGGGTTATACGCTATCGCAAGTAAAATGCGAGGCTAACAGAATTGACATCAGGAATAGGACAATCGATTATCGCTTTATCGCAAGGAATCCATTCTCTTGTTTAAAACCGTTTAGAACCTCCTGCCCGTACAACGTGTTTTATGAAAATCAATATATACTTGCCTACAGGAGTTCTTCTGTAACTAATTGTAAGCGTAATATAAGCAACCGACACAAATTAAAATCTATGAGTAATATGGCGAGAAAAATGTAGTGCGGACCGAAAATCACGAATTAGATCGAGCTTAACATTTAATAGACGTAACGGATAGGGAAGAGAAAATCTGTGCTGACAGTCGTCGCAACGTTTCTTCACAAAATAAAGAGACCTAGACCTGATATTCTACAGAAAACTTGCATATTTGTAATAATTTATAATCCTAGTGTCTGTTCCCCAGTCAGAAAAGACTCGAAAACCGACGTCGAAACAATATGGAACCAAAAATGCATCGATTCGATATTGTTTCGACGTCGGTTTTTGAGTCATTTCTGACTGGGTTTGTATTCATAGAATCGTCCATGGAGATATGACTTATCGATCGATGTCAATTCGACATCGTTTTGAGTTCGATCGACGAATCAATTATTTCTCCATCGGCAATTATGTAAAACATAATGTAGATTATGAGCAGATTATAAATTGATTATAAATATACAGCTAATACTTGAATACAGTAAGTTAAATATTAAGAAAATTCTGTGGTAAGGACAAAATTATGACAATCAATGTATGGTCCTCTACAGGAGTCTTTGTCCGTAACTAATTGTAAGCGTAGTTTAGGCTATTGACACAAACTAAAAGCTGTGATTGACATGTCGAGGAAAATGTAGCGCGAAACGAAAGGCACGAATTAAATATAGCTTAGTACGTTTAATAGATGCAACGAAAAACGTGGAGAAATAAATTTGCGCGAACAATCACCGTGAACCTCTGTGTTTCTTTACGAGAACAAAGAAACTGAGATTTGACATTCCGCAGAAAGCTTACATATTTAAATTCAATATATCCTAAGGTACTTACTTTCCCTATTCATAGAATTAATTTTGTTCGGTATCAGCGGAACGTAATGGATTATATATGGATTATAAATATGACAGCTGATACGGTGGATACAGTGATTTTAATATTAAGACAAGTCTGTAACAAACACAAGACTTTTCGTCAATTGTAATAAAGATTTAGCGTGTATCCTTTTAACAGATACATATCAGGTATGCAAGAAGTGATAATCATTTCTTCATCTTTTCTGTATTGATATTTGAAATTTTTAATGCCACAGATGTGAAACTCGCTTTCACAATCGGAGATCAAAATAATGGTAAAGATCGTGGGACAGTTGGCGGCTAGAACCATTTCTTAATAGAATATCATAGAAAATTAATTGCTATTGTCAAACACTCGTGTGAACAATCATTAGTCATCAACGTACCACGATCTAACTTAGAATTCCACGGTCTGGCTAAAGAAATACAGATCAGATAATTAAGGATGCTGGAGGCTGTTATAAAGTCAGAGATTATCTAGTTCGATGTTTATCAAGGTACATTTTTCTAACGCTTAGGAAGTAATTGTTGAATATTTCTAGATTACATGTATACATATGTAAGTACTTAATTGCGTACGTGTTTGTGTATTACAATTTAGTACATACTTTTAGCATATATGTATGTCTTTATGAAGTAAATTTGAAATCGATTTCTCTACACTGACGTAAGCGATGTAATAAAACTCTAATGGCTCATAAACGCAAACATTTATTTAACACAATACTGGTAAAGACGTTTTCTCTTTTTCCTTTCCTGTAAAAGCCAATCTAAATTGCTCGGATCCTAATTTGACATAAATGTGGGAAATACAGTGACGTCAAAATAGCCCACCGAGAGCACCTATCTGTGACATCATTAAGACATCAAAATGTTGTAACGATAATCTTGTTTTACAAAGCAAAGTTAATTAAATATACATTAAAATTAAATTGAAGTAATGTAAGATATAAAACAGCATGTCAGAAATCAGTTAGTGCAAACTAAATCTTGATGTCGATCATTTTACGACTGAAAATTCATTATTTTAATGTCACATTGACGTTTTTGCGATTAAGTTGTTCTACTTGGGATACGTGCAATAATTTCTTGATTTGAGAACATTGTAAGTTGTGGTACTATTTCGTAGATACTTTCACAAAAGAATTAACGTTTCAACGACGATATAAACATCTCTACAAATTTCTGTTTCAAGTCAATTTTTTGTAGTTATTCATAGAAATTTTTTCCGCTAAAGTACTTTATGTCCACGTCTTCCAATGTTCACTGAGGGCGTGTCGCATTCGCCAATCACGATGAACGGGGTCCGTGGCGACTCTAAAGCCCGTATCAGACTATGGATCGAGATTGAGATTGGATTGAAATTTGACCAACTGGAGTAAAAGTTACTGAGAACTTGAGATTAGTAAACTTTACTGTGATTGGTTAAATTTCAATTTAATCCCAATCCCAATCCGTAGTCTGATACGGGCTTCAGGCTTCTCTCTGACGTTGTCCCACGATCGCACGATTTTCCGGATAAATCTTAAGAGAAAATTCTCTCTTCGTGTAGTAATTTAATACAAGAAAAAAATTCCAATATTCCAAAAAGGTAATTAATTTTTCGAAAACTGACGGTGGGACGTGGTTTCGACCCCATTGACGTCGATTCGACGTCAGTATATTCTCGCTGGGTGATCACGAAGAAGCTTTCTCTCTAATTTCGCGGTTTAAGTCCCAGTCTACAATAGATGATTTAAGCCCTAAGCTTTAAGAAATTGGCCAATCACGGTCAAGTATGAGAAGAATGCGCGACTGTGAGTCCCAGTCTACAATAGATGATTTAAGCCCTAAGCTTTAAGAAATTGGCCAATCACGGTCAAGTATGAGAAGAATGCGCGACTGTGATTAGTCAATTTCTTAAGGCTTAGGGCTTAAATCTCTATTGTAGACTGGGACTGATTAGTCAATTTCTTAAGGCTTAGGGCTTAAATCTCTATTGTAGACTGGGACT